AACTTTCCACACTCATGGTCGAAGTCGGCCAGATTTTTTGCAGCTTGGCTAATGTTGTTGTTATTAGAATGATGTCATCAGCAAAGCAGAGTTGGTGTAGTTGACGACCATCTATCTTCACTCCCGTTACTTCCCACTCCAGCCATCGCATGACATTCTCGAGGCACTGAAGAGTTTCGGTGAAATGGTATCACCCTGCCAAACCCCTCTCTTGACATGGATGATCACTTCCTTGTAGAATGGTGAGATCCTGGTAGTGAATCCTTAATACAGCTCATGGAGGATCCTGATGTATTGGGTTTGAATGCCCTGATTGGCTAGGGCTTTGATGACCACTGCAGAATCAAAGGCCTTCTTTAAATCAATGTATGTTAGTCAGAGTGGCATCTTGAACACCCGAGAAACCTCAATGAGCTTGTTTATTGTGTGGATATGGTCAATCATGCTGAATCTTTTTTGGAACCTGGCTTGCTCGCATGGTTGTCCTTCATCTGATTCTGCCAATCCTATTCAGGATGACTTGAGTGAACAGCTTGTAGATGACAGACAACAGGCAGATCGGGCGAGAGTTGCCAATGTTATGGATGTCTTCCTTCTTGTACAGTAGTACAGTCCTGCTGGTTTTCCACTGGGATGGAACCTTGCATTCAGACAGGTAGCATGTGAAGAGCTGAGCCAGTGTATTGATGAGTACTGACGGCAGGTTCTTCAGGTGTTTGGGTCTGACCTTGTCTGGGCTAGGTGCTGTTTGCTTCTTTACCGAAGATATGGCATGTCGGGAATGAGACCCATTGTAATTACTGGTTTTGGCATATCGAATACACAACGGAGAGCTTGCGAGGCTCTGCCATGCAGGCGGAATACTCTCGGTAGCTTGCCAGGCTTTCTGAGAGGGATAGAGGCATTTGGGGCGACCTCTAATTGCCCTTGTAGGTGTTACCATATTTGATCCCTATCAGGATGAGAATGCTATTCGGGTCTCCCAAAGGGGAATTGAAAGAGCTATGCTTGGATTATCATGTTTCACTCAAACAAGAGAAAGAATCCGAAGTTTCGACCTTCGTTGACAATCAAGAATCAGGGACACTGTCTCGTTTGCCAAGGTGTCAAAAATCAGATGGGTTGGTCACGTGATGAGATTTAAAGATGACCACTGGACTAGAGCTGTTACCAACGGGATTCCACAGGATGTCAAAAGACCGCATGGCCGCCCACCTACCAGATGGTCAGACTTCTTCATCAAGATCATGAACAATTGGTTTGAGGCTCTTCGTGTTCCTAGAGCGAACAGATGCCATTGGGCTACAATAGCACGCGACAGGGACAAATGGAGACGTTACTGGCGCCCACTCGAGCAAATCGATGATTAACAGGAAGTCAAGTGATCAAGTGATGGCATGTTGGATTTCGGAAGGGAGAACGTTGGGAACGACATATCCATCCTGTGAAATTTGATATGTGGTCAGGTGGACATGACTATCAAAGAGATCCGAGTAGAAATCCTGGATAATCTTCTCCATTGCCCTTCTGAAAGATGTGATAGATCCATCAGGATGTCAGAGGATAGTTATCTTGGTCTTGTAGTTAGTTGATGAAGGACAGGCAGGCATTGCAAATGCTTTTCCTGACTTCTGCCACATCTGCCATCACTGCTGCTCTTCTCTCTTTGAGATCATTTATCACTTCTCTGCACTGTTTTGTGAGCTCGAACATTGGCTTGCAGTTGCCTGAGGCTTGCGCCAAGCCATGTTGACGAATGAGCTCCAGAGTTTTCAAAGACAGGTGTCTTTTTGTTGCTCCTCGCATAATCATGGATGTGCCGAACTAGTTGATTGCATTCCTCATCAATGTTGTCAATGACAGCATCTTCCCATGTTGCTGCAATACTGCCAAAGAGTTTCCAGTTGGCAGTAGTTCTGGGAGTTCTCTTCTTAAACTTTGCAGCCCTTTCTCCCCACTCCTTGAAGTAGAATTTTGCACGAGGAGAGGTGGCCCGATCCCATTTGGAATTTTGGGATAACAGCAACATCGGTCAGGCAAAACCATATACTGAATATGATGTGGTCAATTTCATTGTGGAACCGTCCACCAGGAGACTCCCATGTCCAACGTTTAGATTTGACCTTCTGGAACTGTGAGTTACCATGGATGGTCCAGGTCGACATGATGAACTTGGACAGTCTCTCACCCTGTTTGTTCCATTCCAGGCCATGGGTCCTGATGTGGAGTTCTTTGGCTGATCTTCTCGGTCCTATCTTGGCATTAAAATCACCGACAATGATCTTGTAAAAGGTGTGGTCTTCTTTATCAAACTTCTCCAGCTCCATGTAGAACTTCTCAATTTCTCCTTCATCATAATTGGATGTTGGTGCATAGACAACAAAGATAGAAACTGCCGGCAGTGAGCCACGTCTATTCAAGTGTAATTGTCCAATTTGGGTTGTGAGGCATTCGAATGAATCAATGCTCATGGCCAAGTTTGTGTTAACATGAACACTGACACCACCAACACCTCTTTTGTCGCATGATCTGAGGAACAGTTCTTCTCCAGTGTCGGAAACAGCGTGATGTGTTTTATGCCTTCTGGTCTCGGTCAGACCAATGATGTTGTACTTGATCATTCGTGCTTGTATCATCAGGTCCTCGATGGATGCATCTGGTGCCAGCGTATGTGCATTGAAAGTACAGACAGTCATTTTTGTTCTTCTTCATTTTGGCAGCCTAGTTCGGCCTTGAGATTTTATGAGCCTCTCTGTCCTCATCTTTCTTAACCCTGCCATATTGGTGGCTCTTTCAGGGGCAGGGGAATGAGACCCATTGTATTTACTGGTTTTGGCATATTGAATATGTCACGGATAGCTTGCCAGGCTCTGCCATGCGGGCGGGATATTCTCGGTAGCTTGCCAGTTTCTCTGAGAGGGATAGAGCCTGTAAACAGATATTTATTTCAGTATATAATCAATATTTAAGGTTACCAATAAAATACTTCATACTTCTGTCTTATCAAGTCTTTGGAATATGTGTATTTTACACTTGTGCACAAGTGAATTTGGAAGTCACATTTCTTCCACATGTAGTCAATAGTGACATGTGGTGCAGCTAGTAGGTCTTTGGCATCAGATACTCAAGAGCTTAGATTTAATTAGGGGCAACACTGAGCAGACAAAAATGACAGAAACAGCCCTTTTCTACCAGGAGATATTTCTTAAATCTGAACATTCCAAGAAATATCAGAGTGTTTATAAAATAGATACTTCATTGCATAATGCCTGCTCTGGTTCTTGTGTCAAAATCTTTTTCTGGATAAATGTTTAATTCTCAATGGCTTGAAGTTCTTTGAATAATTATTGCTGCTGAACTAAGCTTGCTTTTCCTTTATTTATTCCTTGATGAAGAGCACTCCTAATACACATTCTGGCTGCAAGATCTTAACAAGTTTCATCTTGATTTGAGCAGGAGTAGAATGTTCCCCACCTGAGACATTTCATAGGCAAAGAAGTAGCTGGTATATAGTCTCACTGACACATACTTGCTGCTTTCTTTGCAGGAATATTGCTAACCAGTAAGAAAAAGATGTGTTCATTTGCTATGTTAGAAATAATCATTCCATCTTCATGCTATAGTAACTATATCATTAGCTTCTTCATGTACTTTTTATAATTCCCTTACATAGATTTTTTTGGTCAAAGAACAAAAAGTCTTTGAAGCTATGCATCACTTTGTGAGAAGGTTATTAGTCCCACATAAATTCACATCAGTCATAGATCCTTACCTTACCTAAAGTATCAGATCTTGTCCTGTGTGTATAGCTCTCCTTATTAGATATCTTAAATAAAGAAATGTCTGAATAAACTAAGCATGATTCATTGCTTCCCCAGATGCCATGAAATTGACTTTTATTCTTGCAGAGGGATGCAGATATGTAATAATAATTTTACGTGGAAATTTTTCCTCGGTAAAAGTAAGGGAGACCTAAATTACAATGTTTCACTAAGAAGAGTATCATATCCCAGACATATTATAAGGATTATTCATCATTGTGCAATCAATGAGGGAAAGTGCTGTTTAATTGTAAATTTGCATTAATATTACCAATAGAGTAAAAATGACATTATAAGGAATGTTCACATTGAAAGGACTATGGAAGATCTAACTCCCCAAGTTTTTTGAAGAGAAGAATCAGTTGGAATATTTTTCCTAATATAAAATCTGTAGACTCATCTGAGACCCTCTGAATCAGGATCTCAGTAACAGGGTCAAGGAAGTTGTAGGTTTAATGATCATGAGCACTTAGACAATCTATTCATTAGGGAATTATAGAACCCTGGAGTCCCATTCCTTTGTTGTGAAGATGAAGGCCTGGGGACTCAGAGTGATGGAAGGATTAGATTGTAGTTACATAGCTACTGTGCATCTAATAGAAATCGGACCTACCTTCCCTGACCCCAGTCTGGGATTATCCAGGAGAATGGAGGACTGCATTATAGTTAAATAAAATAAACCTAAAAGCCTTGTTGTTTCTATCTTTTAAAAGAAGAAAATAATAATCCTGTCATGGGCCATTTCATATAATTTTGGTTATATTCTTCTAGGTTGGTCATTTTCAAGAAAATCATTGAAAAAATTTTATGTGTGTACATGTATATTTCTATTTTGTTATATCCAAGAGTCCATCTTTGGTGATAAAACTAGAGTCTTTATCATGATCTTTTAAATATCCTATCTACAAAAATTGGCACTGTTTTGATGAGTCAGTCATTCAAGCATATATCCATTTGCTTGACAAACCAAATGCCTGCTTTATCTTCTATTCTACATTGAATAAGTATGGCATTTTCTTTAACAAATACCTTTGTTTTTTAATTTGGCAAGACAAAATGTATTACTATTTGTCCTCTATTTGAATAAAATTAGGGCTGTAAAATTTAATGAGAAACGTTTTCTGTACATAAAAATGCAAATTGTACCACCCTCCTAATATAATTTTTATTGCTTCCCAGACTGTCCAAAGCCCCCAAACATTCCCATGATCATGTTGGGAGTCTCATTGGCTATTCTTATCATTGGTGTTGTCCTACTCTGCATTTGGAAGCTGCTGGTTTCATTTCATGATCGTAAAGAAGTTGCCAAATTTGAAGCAGAACGATCAAAGGCAAAGTGGCAAACGGTAAGTGAACACTTGCAGAGCTATCCTTTGTTTAGGGGATAAACTTGCAGAGCTATCCTTTGTTTAGGGGATAAAGAATCAGTGCTTTGAGAAGAAAGGAGAGTCTTCTCAGCTTTCTTCTGATCTAAAAGAGACAGAATTTCATGTTCTTTCTCTACCCTTCTTGCCACCTTCTGAAAAGCTTTGATTTCTATTCTGCTCCAGAGGGAGAAACCTCTGGGCTGGGACTATGATGATCATTATGCATAGAGAGCAGAGTTAAAGATCATTCAATGCACTTGGGATTTTCATCATTCTAAAAAGTCTCAAGAAATTTCTCATAGAGTTACTAGGAACATAAAAGAAATATATTCTTCATCACCAAAAGTCTTATTTAATCAGGTCCTAGTCAATAAAGCATAGGTGGTATATCTAAGGATCTCCAGGAATTGGTTATGTTATAGCTAATGCAATAATGTTCAAAAGCAGTTTGACAGTTCATGCCAATTTCCATGGAAATACTCATTACTCATAATACAAAGCAGAGAATACTTTTTAAAAATAGAGTTCAGTTAGCTTTTCTGAATAACATAAATTTTAAACAGCTAGCCAAAGATTAAAAAAACTACTGAAAATATAAATCTTTAAATAAATGTTTTCAATGGAAATAATTTAGGTATCTCCTCTTCACACTAGACAAACACAAAGCATAGCTCCGATTTCCTATGTTTATATTACACAGGAGAGTTAATCATATTTCTAGAGGCCCATGGAAACAATTTCATGGTTTTAATTTCATCTCTCTATTTCTAATAGTGTGTCCATCTATCTAAGAGCAATTATCTCATATTACTCTAAAAAAAGAGCTATTTCACTGGAGAAAAAGTGAGCAGACACAAGGTCCTTTCAGCTTATCTTCCCATATAAATTTATGTTAACACTTTCTTCTCTAAATCTATAGTGAGATTGTCAAGTCCTAAAACACAAAATTTTTCATTTTAAGTAAATGTATTGCAGTAAGGAAGGTGTATATTTCATGTGGTAATTTAAATTAATTTTTTTAAAGAAGTTTTATTGTATCACCGTGAGATACAGTTACAAACTTGCATGATTATGTCACACAATGCTTGAACACCCATTCCTCTACCAGTGCACATTTTCCACCACCAGTGTCCTATTCGCCACCCCCACCCCACCCCACACTCCCTGCCTCTATGGCAGGTACAATCTTCTTTCTCTCAAATTTGGGGCATTAATGATTTGCAATACAGATACTAAGAGGTCATCATATTTGGTCCGTGGTCTACTTTCAGCAAACATCTCCCATCCCGGGCGATCCCTCCAGTCATTTATTTAGTGGTTCCTTCTCCATCCAAGCTGTCTTTTCCCCCAATATGTGCTTCTGGCCGCCAAGCTGTGGAGAGATCCTCCTGGCCCTTATCTTTATTATCCTTAGGTGTTAGTCTCCCATTCTGTTACTTTATATTCCACAAATGAGTGCAGTCAATTTTTTAAAAAATTTTTTTATTATTATTAGTGAAACACCATGAAGTACAGTTGTAGATTTACAATTTTTTGTGCTTGGGTTTAGATTATACAATGATCAAATACCTATCCCTCCACCAGTGCCCATTTTCCACCACCATGGATAATATCCCTCCCACCCCCATCCCTCCCATCCCACCCTGCCTCTGTGGCAGGGCGATCCCTTGTGTTCTCTCTCTCCTTTTGGATGTTCTGGTCTGCAAAAGAGGCTTTGAGTGGCAAACATGTTCAGTCCATAGTCTACTTTCAACATGCATCTTCCCTCCTGGGAGGATCCTCCAAACATCCTTTATTTAATGCTCCCTAGTCTATCTGAGCTGCCCTTTCCCCTAGAATGTCTGGCTGGCCTCTAAGCTATGGAGTAATCCTCCTGGTGCTGATTTCAGCTATTCTTGGGTATTAATCTCATATTTTGTTACTTTATATTCCCCAGATGAATGCAATCTTTCTATGTCTATCCCTCTCTTTCTGACTCATTTCGCTTAGCATGATACTTTCCATGTTGTACCACTTGTACATAAATTTCATGACTTCATCTTTTCTAACAGCTACATAGTACTCCATTGTAGATGTACCAAAGTTTCTTTAACCAGTCATCTGTTCTTGGGCATTCAGGTTTCCTCCAGTTTCTGGCTTTTGTAAAGAGTGCTGCAATGAACAAACAAGTGCAGATGTCAATTCGACTATATATTTTTGCCTCTCTGGGATATATTCGCAGGAGTGGTATTGCTGGGTCAAATGGGAGCTCAATTTCTAATTTTTTGAGCATCATCCATACTGTTTTCCAGAAGGGCTGAACTAGTCGACATTCCCACCAATAGTGAAGGAGTGTCCCTTTCTCGCCACATCCGCGCCAGCATCGGTTGCTTTTGTTCTTTTGGATGTGGGCCAGTCTCTGAGGTGTGAGATGGTATCTCATTGTAATGGTTTTGATCTGCATCTCCCTGATGATTAATGATGTAGAGCATTTTCTAATGTACTTTTTTGCCATTTGTATTTCTTCTTTGAGAAAGTTTCTGTTCATTTCATTTCCCCATTTTTTGATGGGGTTGGATGTTTTCTTCTTGTGGAGTTCAACCAGTATTTTGTATATCCTTGATATTAACCCCATGTCAGATGTGTATTCGGTGAATATCCCTTCCCATTCTGTAGACTGTCTTTGTATTTTGGTCACTGTTTCTTTTGAGGTGCAGAAACGTCTTAGTTTAAGATAGTCCCATTTATCTATCTCTGTTTTCACTTGCTTGGCCAGTGGCGTGGCATCTTTGAAGATACCATTAGCTTCAATGTCATGGAGGGTTTTGCCAACTTTGTCTTCAATGTACCTTATGGTTTCTGGTCTGATGTTGAGGTCTGTAATCCATTTTGATCTTACTTTTGTACATGGTGTTAGGCAGAGTTCTGAACCCACTTTTTTGCATGTAGCTGTCCAGTTCTGCCAGCACACTTTGTTAAAGAGGCTTTCCTTACTCCATTTCACATTACTTGCACCTTTATCAAAGATTAGATGATCATATGTTTGAGGGGAGATGTCAGTGTATTCAACCCTATTTCACTGGTCTGCAGTTCTGCCTTTGTTACAGTACCATGCTATTTTGATTATTACTGCTTTGTAGTACAGTTTGAAGTTCGGGAGGTTGATTCCTCCCATTTTCTTTTTCCCAAGAATTGCTTTAGCTATTCATGGGGGCTTATTGTTCCATATAAATTTCAGGAGTGTTTGCTCCATTTCTTTGAAGAATGTCGTGGGTATCCTTATAGGGATTGCATTGAATTTATACAATGCTTTCGGTAGTATTGCCATTTTGACAATGTTAAGTCTCCCGACCCATGAGCAGGGGATATTTTTCCATTTCCTCAAGTACTCTTTTATTTCCTGAAGTAGCGTTTTGTAGTTTTCTTTGTACAGGTCCTTTACTTCCTTAGTTAAGTTGATTCCTAGGTCTTTGATTTTCTGGGGCACAATTGTGAACGGGATTGTTTTTTTTTATGTCGCTTTCTTCTCTCTCACTGTTTGCGTATAGGAAAGCCATGGAATTTGGGGTATTGATTTTATAGCCTGCAACTTTACTATACAAGTCTATTGTTTCTAGGAGTTTTTTGGTGGAGGTTATTGGGTTCTCTAAGTATAGTGTCATATCATCTGCGAATAGTGAGAGGTTGATTTCTTCCTTTCCTACCTGAATGCCCTTAATAACTTTTTCTTGCCTAATCGCTATTGCAAGTACTTCCAGTACTATATTGAACAGCAGTGGAGAGAGTGGGCATCCTTGTCTCGTCCCTGATCTTAGAGGGAAGGCTCTCAGTTTTTCCCCACTGAGGATGATGCTTGCTGTAGGCTTGTGGTAGATGGCTTTAATTTTGTTGAGGAAAGTCCCCTCTATATCCATTTTGGCTAGGGTTTTCATCATAAAGGGATGCTGGATCTTGTCAAATGCTTTCTCTGCATCTATTGATATAATCATATGCTTTTTATCTTTTCTTTTGTTGATATGATGGATTATGTTGATTGATTTCTGAATGTCGAACCATCCTTGCATCCCTGGGATGAATCCTACTTGGTCATGGTATATGATCTTTTTGATGAGTAGTTGGATTCTATTTGCTAGTAGTTTGTTGAGGATCTTTGCATCTGTGTTCATCAGGGATATCGGTCTGTAATTCTCTTTCTTTGTGGTATCTCTGTCTGCTTTTGGTATCAGTGTGATATTTGCTTCGTAGAAACTGTTCAGAAGTGTTTTTGATATTTCAATTTCATGGAAAAGCTTAAAGAGGATTGGGAGTAAGTCCTCTTTAAGGATTTGGAAGAATTAACTAGTGAATCCATCCGGGCCAGGACTTTTGTGCTTGGGGAGACTTTTTATTACCATTTCAATTTCCTTGATGGTGATAGGTCTGTTCAGGTATTCCAGGTCTTCTTGGTTCAGCCTTGGGAGTCTGTAGGAGTCTAGGAATTTATCCATTTCCTCGAGGTTTTGATGTTCCGTGGCATAAAGCTTCTCAAAGTACTCCCTGAGGATCCTTTGAATTTCTGTAGTTTCTGTTGTAATGACCCCCTTTTCATTTCTGATTCGGTTTATTAGGGTTTTCTCTCTCCCTTTCTTTGTGAGTTTTGCTAATGGCTTATCGATCTTGTTAATTTTCTTGAAGAACCAGCTCTTGGTTTCATTGATCTTTCAGATTGCTTTTTGGGTTTCCATCTCGTTAATCTCTGCTCTGAGTTTTATTATTTCCTTTCTCCTGTTCGGGTTGTGCTCCTTTTTTTGGTCCTTCTCCAAGCTCTTAAGCTGTGAGGTTAGGTTTCTTATGTGTGCTCGCTCCTCCTTCCTGAGGAATGCTTGTAGAGTTATAAACTTTCCTCTTAACACAGCTTTTGCTGTGTCCCATAAGTTTTGGTAGCTCGTGTTCTCATTTTCATTCGTTTCTTGGAATCTTTTGATTTCCTCTTTGATTTCCTGTCTAAGACACTCGTTGTT